ATATAGAAATAATAACCATGTGCTCCTATCAAACCACGTCGGACCATAATGGTAACAATTATGTCGCTAGAATATGAAATATATGATCAATAACTTTATATCCTCTTGATACCTTTGGCATGAAATCAGTAACTACTCAGCAAGTTACATTCACAAATTCAAACTATCTTAGCCTTTCACTTGTGAGGAGTTGCTTGGCCAAGGCTACCTCATTTAATTGTGATCTGTGGTTTTCCCAATACTAATAACCATGGAGTGTTGTACCCTAATCTAACCTCCTCATGAATGCATGGAGATTAGTTAGGTTTGAGTCTCTCAAAGAACAAGTGAAATAGTCCTTTAACAACAATGGGATAATGACTACTTATTGATTTCAACGATCAGCAGTTTGGCTAGTTTTTAATTCCAATAGTAAGCTGCCTATACCATATGGGTTTATCACATCTACTCCTCTCCCTATAGGAAAACTCTAGTCATAAATGATTATGCTATGCACACCTCAACACATAGAATGCTCGTTTATTAACATTTATCATATCGTATCTCACTCATCACAATTTAACTTCATCATACTTCACATATATCTCAATATGCACAACATATCATGTTATTCATTTTCAAATACATACATACTCTATCATGGCCTCAAACATATATGTATAAACATATATTTCATTCTTACCAATCCATACACATTCTTGCACAACACATAATCTATCACATCGACACATTTGCATCAAACACAAGTTAATCTCTTTCACAATTTCCAAACAATTTTTTTTCAATGCACAATTAATTAACAAGCAATTACATAAACTAAATTTTTCTTAGTTACTTTAAACCTTTGGAGGTTAAAGATTTACCCTTAAGACATAAACTTCTAAAGATTCTTAATAGCTTGAATGGTGCCAATATTGATTAGTCCACAATTTAACTGCAAGGATAACCATTAATATCCTTAATAGGTTAAATTTCAACAGTCAATTCAACATTCCCAACTTACCCAAGTGACAAACTCACTTTCAATCATACCTATTAGGTTTACTAATTTCCTTTAGCTCACATTATCATTAATGAACAATTATACCACCATTAATGACCATCAAGCACCTCTAACAACCTTATTTATGGCAATTTTTGGTAGTAATGCTGCCCACTAACCAAAAATGGGTAAACTCATTAATTCTAAGTTTAAATAACCTAAACAAATCACATTAACTCTATTTAAGTCAATAGGTTTAGACCTATAACCATTATAAACCAAAAATCACTTTCTCAACTCAAACCCTAACTCAAATCTAGAGAAAATAGGAGGATGATGGAGGTAAAGGGCATAAGAGACTTCATCTAATATTAGGAAGCTCCAAAATGTCTCCAATAGTCCTCAAATTTGAGCTCTAGTAGAGCAAATGACATACTTTTTATTTTCTCCCTTTTCATCTTTCTAATTTTCCAAACAAACACAAGCTCTATTAATCATAAATTTGACCATACACCATGGTGCACACAGCATATGCTGCAATGCATCGCATAAAGAAGTCCTCCTTCACTGGCGAATGTGCTGCACACTATGACCTGTAGCATAGAACTATTGCTTTTTTATTTTCTCCCTTGTTGTTGCGTGAGTAACTCAACTTCACTTCGAGCCAAATTTAGGGTTGAAATCACAATTTCAAACATACCCATTAGACATCTTTGGCTATACATGATGCTAATTTACTCAATTACTCTCCTTTAATTAACTTAATCTGATTTTTAACTTTTTCCAAATGCTACAACTACTGTTAATATCTGGTGGCTATAAAGCCCTTTACTAAAGAATATCACCTCATCTTGTAGGCAACGATTCTCTCTTCTTCCATCCCACTCTTTTCTCTCTTTTTCCATTCTAGCCATTAGATCAAGACTTAAACACTTCATATTAATATCCTATAAAATTATTATTGAAATATTAAATAATAAAAATATAAATAATAAAATACAAACTACTAAAATTTAATTAGAATTATTTAAAAATATAGTAATAGTAAAATAAAATGAAATTTTTTTGAAGGAAATCAAATTTGAATTATCAAAAATCATGATTTAATAGTTAGAAATGAAAAGGATGAGGCAAGGACAAACCCTAAAAAAACAACTTTTCACTATAGGGAGAAGAAAAAAGAGAGGTAGGGAGGGAATTGTGAATTTGTGATATGGCGAGAGAGAGAAGTGAGGGTCCTAAAATAGTGAGAAGGAAGAGAAAGAGCCAGTGGAAGTGAAGAATTGAGATTTGAAAATAATTTTTTTTCTTTCCATACTAATTTAAAAAATATTTTGAGGGATATTTAGTCTCAAAATATAAGACAATTTAAATTTTAAAAAATATTTTATTAATTATATGTTTTTTAATATTATCATTTCTAGTATGTTCTCTCTCTCTAGTATTCTTTCACAAATGGCACATTAAATGAAGAATATTTTTAAAATTTATATTTTTATTTTGAAAAAATAAGGTTGTAAATTGTATTTAATAAGTTTTATTAAAAAAATAAAAATAAAATTTTTTGAATTATATAAAGGATAATTTGATTCCTCAAATTGCCATAATACTAGTGAAGTCTCTAGAAACCTCTTTATCAATATCTTTTTTTAAAAAAAATTATTTTACCCTTATTAAAAATAACAAGACCCAATTATCACAATTTTTGTTATGTAAATGGTAAGAATTGAATAAGAAATCATAACTTATCAAATATAATTTTTTATTAAAAAAAGCCCCAATCATAAATTTTATTTAAGGAATAACAAATTTTATTATGTGAATCGCAAGCGTTAAATTAAAAATTTTAATTTATTAAGTGTAATTTTTATTATTGAAAGAAAAATTTTTAAGAAAACAAACTCCATTCCTAATTTTTGTTTAAAGAATCACAATTTCTTTTTAAAAAATTGTAAGAATTGAACAAGAAATTATAATTTATCAATAAAGGTAAAATGACCTTTTTTTCTAGAAAAATTATTGACAAAGAGGTCCCTAGAGATGTCATTGCCTCATTGGTATGGACATTTCAAGAAATCAAATTGTCAATTACATAAATCAGAGAGATTTTATTATCATTTTCTCTTTTATTAATACATGTGATTTCTTTTAAAAGTGTTTTATAAATTGAGATGAATATATTATAATACTTCCTCCGATTCTTATTATAGGGTGCATTTTAGAAGGATTTTTTCATTAATATAAGACGCTTAATGAGATATTAATATATTTTTTAATATTACTTATATTTAAACTCAGTAATTATTAGAAAGAATGTAATGTAGATTTGAAAATATTCATTTAAATATAAATAAAATTAAAAATTTATTTTATTTTTAAATAAAATTAATTTAATTATATCTCCTTAATTTTAATAAGATAGGTGAGCATTATAATAGAGATAAGAAAGAATAATTATTTTTTGAAAATTGGCCCCTCAACCTGTGAGTCTAGTTTCGGAGAAAGCAGGAGGAGAAGATAGGAAAGAGGAGAAAATCCCCTCCCCTTCTACTGCCATGTCATTGTTGATTAAAATTAATATTACAAATACTTTTCGCTCCTTTATTCTTTGGTTTTTTTGTTTCGCACTATATGCACAATCTGTCATCTCATTAGATTTTTATTATAAATTTTTATTTTTATTTTTATCAAATATTGATGATAAAAAGTGCCTTATTTAATTATGTATATTTAATAATAATAAAATTAAATTAAGAATTTACTAAATTCTTAAAAAATTAATAAGTTTTAAGATTTTTTATGAAAAAAACATATTAAAATAGACTTATAAATATATCTGCCAAAAAAAAGACTTAAAAATACAAACATAGTCCCTCCATTAAAAAATATAAGACATTTTTTTAGGAGTTAGATATTAAAAAATGAAATACATTTTTAATCTTTTGAGGTATAATCATTAAATTTTTTAAAGTGCCCCTATTGATAATGAATTTATATTTATTATAGGATATTTAATAAGGATAATATAAAAAGATAAGATTAATTTAAAAATAAGTAATTACTTTATTGAAGTAAAATTTAATTAAAAATATTTTATATTTTTAAATGAAGGAAGTACTTCTTCCATCTTAAATTATAAGAAACTTTTAAACAAAATATTACATACTAATAAAACTCTTTAAATACACTTTATAACCTTACTTTTTTAAGATAATAAAAAATACCTTCATTTAATACTCTATTGATAAAAAAATATTAAAGAGAGAGAATATATAAAAAAGATAATATTAAAAAATTATTATTAATGAAATTTTATTTTTATGAAAGTACTTTTAAGATGTTAAATTTTTTTAAAAAATATTTTATAATTTAAAATGATTAGTAAAATGAAACAGATATGCACGAGCGTAAACTACTTCTGGATGAGCGCACGTATGTACGTAAACAAAGAAAAGGAGAACTATAAGGCCATATTTGGTAGTATTAAATAGCAAGGTGAAAATGAAATTAAAGATGAAATTCTAATTTAAACATGATTGGTATGCAAGAATTGTAATTTTTAAGAATCCTAATTCCATCAAAAATGCTAGAATTCAATTCCATCATATTGATCATAGAATTGCTTCAATTTCCTTGAATTCAATTTATGGACCCTGCTATTCTCATTTTTTTTGTCCATTTATAATAAGATAGGTCTTTTTAATTTTTAAAAAAAGGATAATTTAATCTTTTCTTATTTTAAATACCTATATAAATTAATATTATATTAGAATTTTATCTTCATATCAAATATTTTTTTAAAATTTAATTTTATTCCAATTTTAATTCTGATTTTAATTTTGTTAAAACCTCTTTCATCGTACAAAGGAGGGCTAAGTGTTTTTGTTGCCGCGCAGCATGGCTGATTAAATGCGGACAGTATAATTAATTAAATGCGAAGCAGAGGATGAAGTGGCAGGATGGCTGATTCTTATAGTTGATAACGCCTCTCCCTTAGCACTCTCATGCTCATGCATTGCCCGTCCCATCCCCTAATCCTCATCTCCATTTAAACCCCACAAATCCCCCTTCCATTCACCTCCCCAGTTCCATCTCTCTCCTTATTCTCCTTCTTCACCCCTCTTTCTCAACCATGGTCGCTGTCTCTCGCCCTCCTCCATCTCAAAACCTCTTCCTCTTCAAGTCCTGCAACAAGCCAGACACCTTCTTCGATGGAATCCCTGTTGTCGATCTCTCCCACCCCACCGCCAAATCCCTCATAGTCCAGGCCTCCCAGGAATGCGGCTTCTTCAAGCTCCTCAATCATGGCGTCCCAACGGAGTTGATCACCGCTCTCGAGAATGAAGCCCTTAGGTTCTTCGCCAGACTTCAGTCCGACAAAGACCGCGCAGGCCCTCCTGACCCTTTCGGCTATGGAAGCAAAAGAATTGGCTGGAACGGCGATGTCGGTTGGATTGAATATCTCCTCCTCAACTTTAATCCCGATGTCATCTCCACCAACACTCTCTTCGTCGTCAGTCAATACAGCCATGCTTTCCGGTAAGCAAAACAGAGTCCCCTGCTTCTTTCCTTCATTCCTCTGTTCTCAACCAAAACAGTATCTCGTCTTCATGATTTTCTTTTGACTCATCTTCAGAAGCATTTTGAAACTGTACCTTTCAGATAAACTAAGGTCATGTACAACGTTGCGTAATAACACACACATTTTTTCCCCTTTTTTCTCATTGGGTTTAAATATTCGCAGCTCTGCTTTGGAGAAATACGTTTCGGCGGTGAGGAACTTGAGCTATCAGGTGCTGGAATTAATGGCGGACGGGCTGGGGATTGAAGAAAGGAATGCATTTAGCAGGCTGCTGAGGGACGAGAAGAGCGATTCTCTGTTCAGGCTGAACCACTATCCGCCGTGTTCCGAGCTGGAAGCATTGAGTGGAAAGAACTTGATTGGGTTCGGAGAACACACGGACCCACAGTTAATTTCTGTGCTGAGATCCAACAACACGTCGGGCCTGCAAATTTGCCTCAGAGATGGGACCTGGGTTTCGGTCCCATCGGATCACACCTCGTTTTTCATCAATATTGGCGATACCCTGCAGGTACCCCTCATCTCAACCTACAATTACAATGATTCATCTTCCCTCAAATCAAATCTGTTCAAAATTCTTCCTGTAATTTTTTACCTAGTCTTGACATCTATCTTATCCGCCTTTTTAACCCTCTCTCTCTCTCTGCTGTGTGTCGCGAGAACAATCATGATCCCTTAATTGGTTGAAAAAGACGCGATGGTATCCACCAAGCGTTTGATTTCACAGAAGATTCTTTTTTTTTTCCCTTACCAGTAATGATACACTGCTGTAGTAATCAACAATATGTACAGAATTCGGGGGGTCAACAGTTTTGTGAAACATGGATGCAGGTGATGACGAACGGGAGGTTCAAGAGCGTGAAGCACAGGGTTGTGGCAGACCCGAGCAGGTCAAGGCTGTCAATGATCTACTTCGGAGGACCACCGTTGAGCGAAAAGATAGTGCCTTTAGCTTCATTGATGGGGGAGGAAGAAGAGAGCCTGTACGAGGAATTCACATGGTGCGAATACAAGAAGGCTATGTACAAGTCAAGGCTCGGCGATAATAGGCTGGCCCTCCTCCAGAAAGCTGCAGGCCGATGAGATACGATGGATTCGATCCATGAATGGAAGGGCCAAGATATAATTTGCGTCCCAGCCGCTTCATTTTACCATGTTTTAGGTTTTACAATTTTTCTTTCTTTGCATGTTTTGTCAGATGGGAAAACAGGGTTCAAAGAGTTGACTTGACTTGACATATCAGTGCTGAAAGGAAAAAACCGCTGTTTAATATGTTGTTTTGGATCCTTTATTTTCTTGGAACAACCTAGCGTCGCGATGTAATGACTAATGGGGATGGAGCCCAGGTGTATGTGATGGTGTATATCATATTGTTTGAATATTAAATAGATTTCTAAATAACTTCACGAGTCAGGCTTGTTTCTGGTGTTAAAAAAAAACAGGAAGTCTGGTATATTGGAAATAATAAAAGAATAAATGTAGTGTTGTGTGGGGCGAAGGAGTTAAGGAATGAAAATGAAGTAGGGATGATGGTTGAAGGGAGCAAGTGAGCACTTAGAGGACAAACGGGCCCACACATAAATGACAGAGAAGGTTTGAGAGGGAGGGGGCATTCCCTTCCGTGATGGTCCAAACAGTTGCTCTCAGTCCGAGCAAAGGTTTTGACCATCCAACACCTTCCTCTGCCTCTTCCTTTCTTCCTTCTCCTTCGTCTTCGTCCCCTTCTCTCTCAACAAAAATCATGATAAATATCTCCACATGAAATGGTCCCTCATGAGGATTTTGATTTATAACCCATGAGATCGTGTGTCATTGATGACGAGCTTGATAGTTTAACAGAGATCCAACCCATTGGATCAGCATACATGTTGTCGCTGTAATCTTTACCAGGAATTACTCAAACTACAACTCGTCCCTATAGCTATAATCTTGTTAAAGAGATTTGTTCCTTGAAGTAAGAAATGTCACCCCATGAGTCTTTGGATAGGCCAAGATCCTCTTATTAATCATTGTCCCTGTCAATCTGTGTAAACTTGCATACACTGTCTTATCTTCGATCTATGCCATGTTTTATATGGTTTGAATGTGATTTTAAAGGTCCCTCAAGTTTTAATTCCTTTAATTTAAACTAGATCAATTTTCGCGTCACGCACACATGTGAACATTCAGTTTTTTAAAGGGAATACTCGCATCAAAAAGTTGCAATTCATTAAAATTTGACTTTTGTCTAAATGGATATAGTGCAATGTCAAAACTTATATACTTAATTGTAGTGTTTGTTTTCAAATAAATTAAGATACGTAACTTTTTATGCATTAAAATTCACTTATTTTAATTTGATTGAATAAAAATATATTAAAAATATAAAAGTAGGCATAAATAAATCTTGCCCTTATTATATTTATTTATATTATCATTTCAAAAAAAAAAACTATGACTTGAGCCAGTCAAATGAGATTGTTTTTGTTTTTTTTTTTTTTTTTTTTGTTTTGATACAAGTCAAATGAGGTCGTTCACTCTACAGGGCATATCGAAGTTTCTATATAAACCAGGTCCATATATCTCACCAGTCACCAATTCCCAATTCATACCGGAAGGTCAATATACCGGAATGATCACCGACTCTTCTGATTACCATATATGCCACAACATCATCTTTTTGTTTTATTTTTTTTCTTCTCTCCTTTCTGTTCTTTATACGAACTTTTCCTTGAAAAGATACTGTATATTAAATACGATGGAACTGACTTTTTCCCATAAAAAGTATTGGGAGAACTGCAATCAAAGCTCCCAGAAGCAACAAAATTGTTGAATATAATATTCAATGGAAATTGAAATTATTTAGAGCGTTCAAAAGCCTCATTTGTAATTATATTTTTTTGAGTGAAATAACTTACTTGTCCCTCCCAAAGTCTAACAATGTTCATGTTCGTCTCTCTCATCTCTTCTTCCTCCTCTCTTCTCTCTCACTGTTCCTTTTCTCTCTTCCTTCTCTCTTTTCAATTCCTCTTCCTCTTCCTTCTTCTTCCTCACTCCTCTTCCTTCCCCTTTAGCCAGAATCATTGTCTTTGAAGCTTTGAGGTGTAGTGTATTCACCATATTCTTGAACTTTCACTATATCCATGGGATTGTAGGAGTTAAGTTTGGAAAAGTTGATCATATCTTCTACACATAGAAGGCGTACATACTTGGAGGAAATAGAGTTTAAATGATTGGATTCAACAAGCTCCCACAATAGGCATCATTCCCATCGTCTCAATTCTCTTTTTGGGTTTAGGTTGAAGAAACCAAAATTAAAAATGTGCAAACGGATTGAAGAAACCCTACATCATGTTAAATACATTGATTCATGTTTAAGTGAATGTAACATTTCAAAAAATTAACCCTAAATAACTAAGCTTAATCAAGGTAATTAAGTAAATTAATATGATATGTGGCTAGAGAGGTCTAACCAATGGTTTGGTTGTTGTTTCAGCCCTGCATTCATGTTAGAAGCAAAGTCAGGTCATTTAGACCTTAAAAAGGGAGACAATTTAAAGAGTTAGATTCTGTGCCACATGTCGTGGCGTATACCACCTCTATTACGGTGCACGAGTAGCACATCATGAAAGATTGGCCTCTTTATGCCCTGTGCCACAACGTGTGCAGCGTGCGTCATGACGCATGGTCAAAAATCATATAGAAATAATCGCAAGCCTAATGCAAAAATTAGAAGGAAACAAAGAGTAAATGGATGACTTGAGCTTTTCTCTGTCAAGGCTTGACAATTTAGAGGTTTGGGAGTATGACAATTTACAGGTTTGAGAGTATTTTTAAGCTATCAACCACTAAAGGTAAGATTTCTAAACTCTTTTCCTCCCTTCCTTTACCATTTTCTTAAATATTTATGTAGCATTTGTAGTTGGGAGAATATTTTTGGTCCATAGAAGTTATAGGTACGAACTCATTGATTTAAATAGAGTTAATAGAAGTAGTTTGGGTTATTTAAACTTTGTATTTATAGCCTTGTGAGTCTTGGTACTTGGAAGGCCATTAATGGCTAAAAAAAGGCATATATGAGGGTTGGTAGAGGTTTTGAAGCCATTAACGGTAGTTTAATGGTCCATTAATAATAATGTGAGTTAAATGGAGCTAATAAACCCAATATATATGTTTGAAAGTGAGAGGTTATGATTTTGTGATTTGGAATTGTTGGGTTAAATGTCGGGAAATTATCCTAATGAGGATATTAATGATTGTTAGTATGATTAATTGTAGATTAATCATGAATTGGCACCATTTAAGCTAATTGGAGCTTTAGAAGTGTGTATTAAGGGGTAAACCTTTGACTTCTTAAAGGTTTGATGTAAACAAGAAAAATTTAGTTTGTATATTTGTTTGTTTAATTGATTATTGTTAAAAAGTGAAATATTTGCCTTACCAATTACAATTAACATTTAAAATCCATACTCATCAAAGGATTAATTCAAAAGAAATTACCAAGTTTGTAATTTAAAATAATCAGTTCTCAAGTTTTCATAATTTAAAAATGAGTCAAACCCATTCATTAAACCTTTAATCAAAGTAAAATCATATTATGGAAACATAGGATATCTCAAAAGAGTGAAAGGAGTTAAAAATAGTTGAAAAATTTTAAGTTGCTGAAAACATAGCAATGCACCGTGGCTCATGCACCATGTACAGAGGCTTCTTACTCTTTGTGAGATGTGACACAGTGTTACACGTTTGATAGCAAACTATGCCGTCATGTTGACATCAAACCTGAGCAACTTTTAGCGTGTCTCATTTCTCCATTCAACATTTGAATGAGATAATTTAAATGTCTATAGAAAGCTCTTTTTCATATACTAGCTGATAGCACAAGTTTTATTTCTAAATCACGTCACACTAAAAAGTTGGACATGCAAACACATTTTCACACATTTTCACAAACTTTCACAACGAAGGGTGTCCAAACCCTATATAACTGCCAAACGTTATTTATAACACCCAGACCATATTTGTTAGACTTAAAACTACCTGTACAATACACCACATGCACATGTACATCATTATATCAACGTTTCACTCATCAAGCCTTTTAATACCAGAAACAGAAGGGGAGGTTTTAACATTGCATTTTATTAAAAAAGTTATTTATATAATGTTTAAAACAACCTTACTACACTTGCACTAGTATTTTAGCCTTCTATATTTGCAACTCATCATAAACAACATCTTAGAGCTTAAAATAAATTCCAAACATCACAAACAACTATATAGTGCAAGTGTAAACAAAAATGCATCCTAGTTAACAATATTCAATCTATTATACAAAATAAATAAATCAAAGAGGCATACACTAAGAATACTTAGATTCCAAAGCCTTTGGAGCTTTTTCTCTTTCTGCACCAAAGCTAGAGCATGTAAAATTTTAAATAAGAAGGATGAGTCTAGCCACTCAGTAACCAAGGTAAGCCTATCTTATGCAGCTATTTATTATTTGAATAAACAAATCAGTTTGAAAATTGATTTTCTCAAAATACACACTAACACATGTAACACAAATTATTATTTTTCAATTAACTCATTCTCATCTTAATCAAAAAGTATATTACCACAGACACATAGACATATGACAATAACCTAATTTATTGCCATAAAATTAAACAATCATGTGACATGTCATATAATCATATATGCATGATCAAACCATCTTCATATCCTCCTTATTTCTTCCGACTAAAATCATAGGCTATAAAATCAAATAGGGCTCCATTCATGTGACTGAATTACCTAAGCTCACCAATTGTGAAATGTGACCTGACCAAAGATCACAAGATTTACTCTTGGATCACGACTTTTCCCATTCTTAAAACTCTAAGGTGACATATATCCTAAACAAATCTCCCTAATAAACTAGTGGAAATAGTTAGATTCTAATTCCTTAACAAATTATGGGACAAGATTATACCCTCACGCACCAAAAGGCAGCTAAAGTACCATATGAATTTTTAACTACTCCTCTCTGTAAACAAACTCTTGCCCACTAATCATGCCAAGTACGATGCTCACACTTTTCACAATTTCATTTATTTATTATTAACATGTTAGGCTTATGATAATACGCCACCTAAGTGAGTATCAATCATTATTATCACATTTGCCATATATATTTCATTTTCAATCTCAACACAATTATCTTTATCATACCCATCATCAACCACTCATTTCAATACCACATTGCAAATTTGAAATCCATTTCAAAATTACTTTTGCATCTTTAGTTCAAATCAAAGCACAACATACAATATCATGATTTCATAGCTTGCTACACATTCACAATCATCAATATACATACAAATAACCACAATTCATTTTGCAATGCCATTAATAAGCAACTAC